TGGTCCTGAAGGGTCAGACTGACTGATCTGGTCCTGAAGGGTCAGACTGACTGATCTGGTCCTGAAGGGTCAGACTGAGACTGATCTGGTCCGGAAGGGTCAGACTGAGACTGATCTGGTCCTGAAGGGTCAGACTGACTGATGTGGTCCTGAAGGGTCAGACTGACTGATGTGGTCCTGAAGGGTCAGACTGTGACTGATCTGGTCCTGAAGGGTCAGACTGACTGATCTGGTCCTGAAGGGTCAGACTCTGACTGATCTGGTCCTGAAGGGTCAGACTGACTGATCTGGTCCTGAAGGGTCAGACTGACTGATCTGGTCCTGAAGGGTCAGACTGAGACTGATCTGGTCCTGAAGGGTCAGACTGAGACTGATCTGGTCCTGAAGGGTCAGACTGTGACTGATCTTGTCCTGAAGGGTCAGACTGAGACTGATCTGGTCCTGAAGGTTCAGACTGTGACTGATCTGGTCCTGATGGGTCAGACTGAGACTGATCTGGTCCTGATGGGTCAGACTGTGACTGATCAGGTCCTGATGGGTCAGACTGAGACAAATCTGGTCCTGAAGGATCAGTTGGTCCTGTCTGATCGATCAGAGACCACAGTGATCTGGTTGAACTGGATCATGGTTCTGTGGTGTTTTAGGGTCAGGTCTGAGTCCCTCATCATGACAGTCCCTCTGCCGTGCCTCACAGCTGAAGTTTGACAGAAACTCTTCGTCTGTTTGAGGATTTTTAAATGAGTCTAAAGTTTTAACCTGAAACAAGTCGTTGATCGTCTGACTTGTAAAAGTCAGGAGGACTTTCAGTCTCACTTCCTGTCAGTTTATGGTTCAGAGTTCGAGTCTGGGTTCAACCTGAAACCAGAAGCTGCGGAGCGTCTGATTGGTTGTTTCAGACTGATGATGTGTTTCCTGTCTGAAGCGTGCCTTCAGACCGGAGAGCCTCCTCCTCTTCCTCAGTGTGCAGTAAAGAGGAAGCTGTGTGTTCTCTGCAGTCACACTCTGGTTCTGGTTCTGGTCGCTGCTGCAGGTCCGACTTCATCATGGCTCCATCAGTCCTCCTCCTCCTCCTCAGCCTCCTGAGCTCCACTGACTCCCTGCCTCCTCCTCGGGTCTCCTTCCTCCTCTGTAAGTCCAGAGTTTCAGACTTTGTCTCGTTTCTTTGATCGATAATCAGAAGAAATCAGGTCTGAATTTAAATTTAAATTTGTTTTTAAACTTTATAAAATGTGGATTCATCCTGAAACATCTGCTCCTAAAGATGTTCTCAGAGCTCCGGTCCCTGATGGTCCTGGTCATCTGGTCCTCAGGGACCGGGCTTGTCCTGAATGTTTGCAGCAGATCCAGCAGACAAAACATGAAAACATTTATTCTTCTGAGGACATTTAAACTGATAAACTTTAGTGTTTTTATTTAAAACTGACAGGATTTCATCAGATCACACTGAAAATGTCAACAACAAACAAAAAAACAAACAAACCCGTTGATGAGGCATGTCCTCTGTCCTGGTTCTGACTCACTCTGCTTGTTTGAATCAGTTCTTCATGTCGACTAAAGACAGCTTTAAAGCTGCACTAATGGACTTCCTGTCCAACACACAGATGAACATTATAGATCATTGTGTTGTTGTTGTTGTTGTTGTTGTTGTTGTTTAGTTTGGGGCAGCATGATGGATCTCTGTTATTTGTCTGTTAAATAATGGTAATAAAATAGTTTTTTCTTGTCTAACTTTAACATGAAGTTCAAATAAAACACTTGTTTCAGAACATAAACTCATCTTCATCATCTTCATCAGGCTGAACGTTGATTTTATTAAAAACGTCTCGATTCTCAGAAGTCTTCTTACAGGAAACTGGACTCTGGACCCTGAAAGTTCTGGTCCAGTTCATCTCCAGGTCCTTCAGACCTCTACAGTGAGACAGCAGCTCAGAGCTTCAGAGTAAACTCTGACTCAAACATCATCAGTTTTGTAGTGGGAAGACTGGTTCTGGAAGACTCTGGTTCTGGACGACTCTGGTTCTGGAAGACTCTGGTTCTAGACGACTCTGGTTCTAGACGACTCTGATTCTGGACGACTCTGGTTCTGGAAGAATCTGGTTCTGGATGACTCTGGTTCTGGAGGACTCTGGTTCTAGACGGCTCTGGTTCTGGACAACTCTGGTTCTAGACGACTCTGGTTCTGGACAACTCTGGTTCTAGACGACTCTGGTTCTGGAAGACTCTGGTTCTGGACGACTGGTTCTGGACGACTCTGGTTCTAGACGACTCTGGTTCTAGACGACTCTGGTTCTAGACGACTCTGGTTCTAGACGACTCTGGTTCTGGAAGACTCTGGTTCTGGAGGACTCTGGTTCTAGACGACTCTGGTTCTGGAGGACTCTGGTTCTAGACGACTCTGGTTCTGGACGACTCTGGTTCTGGACGACTCTGGTTCTGGAAGACTCTGGTTCTGGAGGACTCTGGTTCTGGACGACTCTGGTTCTAGACGGCTCTGGTTCTGGACGACTCTGGTTCTGGAGGGCTCTGGTTCTGGAAGACTGTTTCTAGACGACTCTGGTTCTGGAAGACTCTGGTTCTGGATGACTCTGGTTCTGGAGGACGCTGGTTCTGGACGACTCTGGTTCTGGAAGACTCTGGTTCTGGACGACTCTGTTTCTGGATGACTCTGGTTCTGGATGACTCTGGTTCTGGAGGACGCTGGTTCTGGACGACTCTGGTTCTGGACGACTCTGGTTCTGGAAGACTCTGGTTCTGGATGACGCTGGTTCTGGACGACTCTGGTTCTGGAGGACTCTGGTTCTGGACGACTCTGGTTCTAGACGACTCTGGTTCTGGAGGACTCTGGTTCTGGAAGACTCTGGTTCTGGAAGACTCTGGTTCTAGATGACTCTGGTTCTGGACGACTCTGGTTCTGGAGGACTCTGGTTCTGGAAGACTCTGGTTCTGGACGACTCTGGTTCTGGATGACTCTGGTTCTGGAAGACTCTGGTTCTGGACGACTCTGGTTCTGGAGGTACAGGAACATCAGTTTTCAGGTGCTGGTTCGATGAAACCGATCCAAACCCATCTGACTCGGGTTTCTAGAGAACTTTAAGAAACACAAAGTCTTCACCATGAAGTCCTGGACAACTGAGGGTCTACCAGCTGCTGTTTGATGAGAGACCGTGAAGAACCTGTAGACCCTGTAGACCCTAAAGACCCTGTAGACCCTGAAGAACCTGTAGACCCTGTAGACCCTGAAGAACCTGTAGACCCTGAAGAACCTGTAGACCCTGTAGACCCTAAAGACCCTGTAGACCCTGTAGACCCTAAAGACCCTGTAGACCCTGAAGAACC